AGGGACAGTAACTGTGTGTGTATATGTAAGCATTTAAACACTGCAGAGAGTACAATTAACAGGAACAGTATTGTAGAAATTCATTTCACCAAAACAATAACGTGGCGCACAGTGTGACGTCAAAAAAGGCGCACACCTTTGACGCTGCGTTTTCTCCGTTTTTCTCATCCACAGTAAATGCAAAAACGGAGTTTTCAAAAATATCCACCCTGGCCGGAGTTTTTAAAAATCTCAGTTTTCAGTGACCGAAAACGCCGTTTACGTGTGGACGAAAAGTGCAAACGCATAGAAAAATCTGCGTTTTCAAAAATACCCGGGTACGTGTGGACGTAGCCTTTGACTTAAATAAGATGTTTGTTAACCTTTGACAATATATCTGACAGTGGTTGCAGTCTATACAAGTTTGGAGACAGGCTGACAGGTCAAAGGCAACCTGTACAATCGCCTGTGTTCAAACGTGGTTGCACAGAAATAATGTGTGCAACAAACTCAATCTCTGTATGATCAGTACGTGGAATCGGCCATAAAAAGTCAAAAGTATTCACTTCAAATTTCGCCTGGTCACAAGGGCGTTCACAGTCTTATATTTACTCTTGTGTGAGTGAACCATTACCAATAAATCAGTTCACAGGGCCTTAAAGGCACCTAAGAAGGCACATAGCATGTGTGAAAGCCTTGAAATGATGAAATCCCCACATTTACCAAAGCTTAAAGTCCTAACTTATGCTTAACTGACAGTGATTCAGTTACACCTGCTGCGTTGTACATTCATGTACATACAACATATTTAATCTGGGTTCCCAGTTTTCCACATCAGCTACAGGGATCAAAGCTCTGGTCAAACACAGCTGGAGGTTTAATGGCTTGAAATTGTCCCTTGGGGAACACCTGTTTGATTCATACTCACAAACCGATGAACATTTAAAAAGTTGATGTTAACTTTGGCTGTTTGCCCTTCTGTAGAATTTGGGACTACTCTGACTTTTGCAACAGTAAAGTTGCAAAAGCACATTCTCATGGCAGTTTGAGCTCAGTGAGTATTTCACAATCTGTTTGTAGTTTAGATATTTCCCTCTTTTCCAGAAGTCCTTTACACTTAATTAATGTTTTCTTTCACACTTAACCTTCATTTTCTTTTGCTGTTTGGATAGATTTAGGCACTGAAACTACCTGGTTAAGGTTGGAAAGGATCAAACATGCACGCTCTTACTCTTTTATTCCAATATTACTCTTTACTAATCTCTAAGCTCACCCTTTTAACAGATTTTCCACATGTCAAACCCTATTTTAAAGAAACATATGGAACTTTTTTAGTACTTTAAATGTCTAATAGTTGTGGAATTCTGCTCCTTAGAGAGTTGAATTCCTCCTGCTTCTGGAGAGTGTCTTCAAAGCTGCAAATAAACAGGGGTATTTTTCCACTGTGGACTGGGAATCCAGAGCTGAGAGATTTCCCAGCTTTTTGCCTAGGACGCAAAGTCTAAACACACACTACAGCTGAAAATGAGTCATCTGTTCTTTGTCTTTAGCTTATAGTTAGTGCTGCTCTACTTTAAGCTCTGGTGGCTAACAAAATCCCCCTCTCTCAGGTCCTGCTGTCAGCTGAGACAGACACAGAGGAGGCTTCAGAGGGGGAGGAGGAGCCGGCGGAGGATGAACCGGTCCCCTATGTGCAGTACTCAGGTGGACCACTGAGACCAAGCTGGGTGGCGGTGTAAACCCAGGTGACGTGTCCTCGATTATCGACTGTCCCCACACACAACACATAACAGCATAAATAAGAAAAACAAACTTCCATCCACGTCTTCTCAGACTGTCGTCAGTCTTAATATCAGCTTCTTTGCAAGCAAAGGCACAATTTAAGGTCGTATAACCTGTGAATGTGAATACCTTTAGCTGCCTTCTTCCGCATCGAAGGTTAGAACACTTAGAACTGGAGGTCGACTCAGTATATGCATGCACTGTGCAGCGTTTTGGGAATTAGAAAGTCTTTATCCTCTCACCTTGCTGCCTCCGTTTACTGCAAGAGAACATCAGAGAAACCACAGCTGAACACGCCAAGTGTGTGGGGAGAGATCATTAAGGAGCGCGGTGCCCCCAGGGCAAAATCTACGGGTGGTAATGACAAAGACTAAAATTAATCTGTCTTCTCTCAACTCCAGGGACTTTTGGAAATGTTGTTTCTCTAAAGAGAGTCATTTATCGAGTGTCATATTCCAAAGAGGAGAAAGAAAGTATACACTATATATATAAAAGTGCTCTCTAAGGTTATACTCAAATATAATCACTTTGAATCCACCTTTTTATTTAAGGTGTAATTATAGTCATTCCTGCACGTTCTCCCTCCGGCTGTTTACTTTAAGGTAAAAGGGCGATCAGTGGGATTTTTTTGTTTTTTCTTGTTTTTCTGTTGAACCGCACACGTCAGTACTTTGGCTGCTGCACTTTCAACATGTGGATAATGTGGCTGATGAAATACACCACCAACACCTCTTAAGCTTGATTTATACTCCTGCGTTTAATCTATGGACAACCTTGCTCTGACATTGCACCACCGAAACAGCAGCCGTCATTGTGTTGCTTTCCTTCCATAGACTGTATATAAAAGATGTTGTCTGTTTTACTCTAAATGAGGCCATCGTTTAAAAAAATGAACATGATGTATATTAAATAAAAGTATACCACTGAACTAGCAATTTAACATCAGAGCTAGCTGTTGCATCCTAATCCTAAACTACATAAAAGACAGATGTAGCCACTGTTTTAAAGCCTCACGTTTGGCCATTTTGAAACTGGTTTTGACCTTATTTGGATGAATACTCTTCAGATTATCTTTTACTACATTAAAGGCTACACAAGTGATTTAGTAAAAGTATACATACACTTACACTTCCCCCTCTTTGTCTTTATATATAAAGAGAATGAATACCATGCTGTAGTGAAGCATGCTTTAAATTAGCAATTGAGACCCATTAGAAATATCTTTACAGAGTTCACAGGTCAAGTAAGTCACACAGGCTGGTGAATGTGCACTCCCTGACACTTTGGTGAGTGGTTACTGGAAGTTGCGGAAGTCTGTTTGATAAGAGATTGCTGCAGTCGCCTTTAGTTTGCATGGAAGACACTGTTTTGTCTACAAACACTTGCTAAGCACAGCCTTTTACTGTAATTTTTTTTTTTTTACCTTAAGACTGAATCCAACATGTTTGAAAAGGATTAACTTTCAATTTGAAGGTAAATGTTCTGTGTTTCCGGTTTACTTTCACATCTCTTTACAGACGAGTTGACATCTTACACACAAACTTTAGGCAACCACAGCAATCTGCTAGTAATCAAAGCCATCACAAGGAGCTTTTCAGTGACAGCAAGCAGCTGCTCGTCAACTGATTGAGGAATCATACTTCCGTAGCCAGCAGCCTTCCAGCAACTATTAGTACCTGATCTAGGAGTACTTATTTTTCCCTGACAACCAGTGACTGCGAGTCAGGCTCCAGGTACTAAGTCAGTATCCCTCAGGCTGAAGAAGTTGGATCATTTTTCCTCATAGACTTCTATACAACATGGCTCCTTTTGACAACTTTAACAGTTGCCTCCTGCTGGCCATTAGCGAGAATGCAGGCTCAAAGTGCTTCTGCACTGGCTTCACTTTTCACACCTGAAGGCTACACCCATCTTTTATAAACAGTCTGTTTTTTTTGGGGGGGGAAGGAAAAGGAATGGGCATGCTGCTGTGTTGGTTGTGTTTTTTTTTGGGGGGGGGGGGTTGATTTACTTCAAACATTTGCAAAGAAGACAGACGGTACTATGCAGCAATTATTAAAGCTATGGAAATAAGAAAACTGTATGTGGTGCATTGGTGGCGGTTTAGCATTGTGAGCAAGCCAGATAAAATAACAACTTATATTTCATATTTCACACGAGCATTATGTTTGCTCCAATACGTCATATTACTAACAAGCTGCTCAATCGAGTAGTTGCACTTTCGGAGAATTACATGGAGTAGGATAAATGTCTATGTCGTAGATTTAATGCAGAAGCATCAGTCAAGCTTAAAATTGAATTATCAGGTAGTTTTTAGGCACTTTTTAACAATAACAATAGAACATCTTGTAACACTTCAGACTTTTTTTTTTTGTCTCCTATAGGAGGCCTTTATGTTACACTACAGTGTGATGATGCAGCAGCTGTGTGTTAAACTTTTGCAAAATTTTATTTATTCAGTTATGAAAACTGTAACTCTATATAGTGGTCCAATCTGTGGTAAATGCATTGAATAGGAAGGTTAGTGAAAAGGTGTGAGAGTTTTGAGTCTTCGCCAGATAAAGGTGGTAAACGGGTCAAGTGATGGATGTGTGTTACTTTATCCTCAAAGTATTCCTGCCTACATGGTTTACATCTATAATTTCAAAGGTCTACAGTTTGATATGTACTGTCTGTAATATTGTATTTTGTATTTCTTTCTCTTTTTTTTTTCTTAATAAACAAAGTTGTAATCCTGTGGATGACATGGTACAGCATGAACTGAGTTGTCATGCACAGGCCGTGAGCTGCCTCAGCGCTTCTTACGAATGTATTTACTCTGTGTTATGATTAAAGATGATTGACACATGAACTCGTGTTCGGTGTTGAATTCCTGTGGCAGCCCGGGCGCTGCAGCACGATGACAGACAACCTGAGTGAGACCTGGCCAGAGCACACCTGTGTGGGTGTGGCCTGGAGCCCTGTGACCTCCACCTGATGACAAGGTGCTGTATGTAAGGGTGTGTTAGGTTTACATGTATTCATCAGCAGTAGGACAAAGGGTTAGTTGGTGGGGTTGTTCTTAGTGGTAAACAGGTGTGATTTACAGCTTTAAGTTTACATGTGTGCAAAAGGTGATATCAGAAAGCAGCGTTAAAATTTTTCTAGTTTTCATTATTTTATTTACATTTTTTATTATATAATTAATGTAAAAAATAAGAAATTGTATAATAAAACCTTTAACTTTCATCAGAAATAATAAAAATATATTCAGAAGGGACCTGAAAGTAGGAAAAAAACTACTTTTAGGTCTTTTTGGATGTGATAATTATCTTTAAAAGGAGTTTAGTCAGGTAATTAAATGCTGAAGCTATAGTTCTTTGTGCTCATCTCACACCCGGTTTGTCCCATGTGGCCAGTCTCCTGTGTCAAACATGTGTGACATCAAATAGTCTTTGTACTCTCCGTCTATCAGCTTGGCTGCGTTATTCCTGGCGAACCAGCAGTCCACACTCTGTGTGCCGCTGTAGATCCTCCTACTTTTCTGAACAACGGGCACTGAGCGGTTCTTCACCTTCAGGACCAGTGAGGGCTTTGTATCTCCCTGTGCAGGAAGCTCTGCCAATCCTACTTCCTCATACAGGAACTGACCTGAAGGAAATTTAAAAAAAGAAAAAGGGGGGTTATTTTAAGCCTTTTTTAGGCCAGTCAGTTAATTTCCTGCTGATGATGGATCTTATTACAATATATTCTCTGACGAATCTGCATTTATTCACAATTTGCAACAACGCAGCTCCATATAACTCAGATAAAGCCAGGTTTTTTCAAATCTCTGAATCACTCTGCCAGATTAGCCCAGATTAAAGTGTAGCTATCTAAAGCTTAGTTTGTAATTAAATACTTAAATTAGACGTACTTTTATCCTTTTCTCAAAATGTGACCTTTTTTACTTGCAACTTTGTATAGTGGCGCAAGTGCAGTGATCTAACCTGGCAAGTAGCTTCCAAGTGTGTAGCTTCTTAATGCAAAATCACTTCCAGTTTTAGTGAGAACATTTCTGGCTTTACGTGACTATGCTCAAAGGATAATTCCTCTTGATTTTGGTGACCCCTTGTCCATTATAATCCAGTGTTCTCCTGGGAAGCCTTGGGTCTCAGCATTCATACAAGGCTTTGACATGTACTACGCACCAAGCACACCCTGGACAGTAGCCCTAATACAAAAACCCCTAAGAATGACTCAGAACATGGCCAAGAGCCCAAGGCATCGATTCAGTCTCTAAATCTCCCACATCCCCAGAGTTTGGTCAAACACGCCTGTTGTCCAGAGGCCGCACCCCACTAACTCTAACATCCAGACTGATAACAAGTCGGTGGTGGACCTCGGGGACACCGATGGAGATCCCCTGTCCATGCTCCAACAGATTGGAGTTGTATTTTGCAACCCAAGAGAACCTACTCCATTTTAGACAGCGACTTTATAAAGTTGTTCCTGACTGATGAATGTAAAAATGCATGGAAAATGCATGGATTTTGTGAATAATAAATAATCATTTCATATATAGTTACTTAACCAAATATTCAGATATTTACTTAAGTCAGTGCTCCAGCCTCCAGAGGTTGAGAACAGTGCTTTAGTATTTATTGATTAGAGTTCTCAGATCAACAGGATTTTACAGATGAATACTCCTTCAACACTCACCTAGCAGACCGTGGCAGTTGTGCGACAGCCCCTTGTTGTTTCCAATGTAGAACCCCAGATGGTCTCTCTGGTAGGGCGCCGGGTTTTTGTACTGATGCAGCAGGATTATGAAGCTGATGTTCCCACCGACCGTCACGGTCACATTCGAATTTCCCACAATGGCCACAGACAGCGCTCCACTGTCCACAGACACAGTAGAGTGGCAGGGCAGAACAATGCGGTCCCGTCCATCCAGAATAACCTTCTTAGGTGTCACCTCGATGTAGGCGCGTTGGGGTTTATCCACCACAATGGTGATAGTGCTGAAGTAAGTACGCTGCTGCTTGTGACTGCCCGGTGGTGCCGGGGCGCCGATGAGCTTACCGTTGACCGTCACACCTGAGAACACCGAACATGTATGTTTTATTAAAGGCATAAATGATTTTTGGTGCCTTTACACCGCGTTCCAAATTATTATGCAATTTGTGTTTAAGTGTCATAAAAATTAAATAAGTTGTTTTTCAATTAAACCCATGGATGGAATCATGTCTCAGGACTCTTTGTATCACTGAAATCAATCTCGGACATCTATGATCATTAGTTTGGCAGGTGAGCCCAATTAAAGGAAAAACTACTAAAGAAGGATGTTCCACATTATTAAGCAGACCCGCATTTTCAAGCAATATAGGAAAGAAAAATGATCTCTCTGCTGCTGAAAAGCATGAAATAGTTAAATGCCTTGGACACGTAATGAAAACCTTAGATATTTCACGAAAACTTAAGCATGATCACCATAATGTTAAGAGATTTGTGGCTGAGTCAGAGCACACACGGGTTTGTGCAGATAAAGGCACAATGATGAAGGTTTCTGCCAGACAAAAACATCAGATTAAGAGAGCAGCTGCTAAAAGGCCATTACAAAGCAGCAAACAGATATTTGAAGCTGCTGGTGCCTCTGGAGCGCTGCGAACATCAAGGTGTAGGATCCTCCAGAGACCTGTAGTTGTGCATATACCTTCTATTTGGCCACCCCTAGCCAATGCTCACAAGCAGAAACGGCTGCAGTGGGCCCAGAACTACATGAAGACTAATTTTCAAACAGTCTTGTTCACTGATAAGTGCAGTGCAACCCTGGATGGTCCAGATGGATGCAGTGGTCGATGGTTGGTGGACGGCCGCCATGTCCCAACAAGGCTGTGTCGTCAGCAAGGAGGTTGTGGAGTCATGTTTTGAGCCAGAATCACGGGGAGAGAGCTGGTCGGCCCCTTTAGGCTCCCTGAAGATGTGAAAATGACCTCTGCACAGTATGTGGAGTTTCTGACTGACCACTCTCTTCCATGGTAGAAAGAGAAGAACTGTGCCTTCTGCAACACAACCATCTTCATGCAAGACAATGCACCATCTCATGCTACAAGGAATATCTCTGCATCATTGGCTGCTATCGCATAAAAGGAGAGGAACTCATGGTGTGGCCCCCATTCTTCCCTGACCTCAATCCTATTGAGAACCTTTGGAGCATCCTCAAACAAAAAAATACGAGGGTGGGAGGCAGTTCACATCCAAACAGCAGCTCAGGGAGGCTATTCGGACATCCTGCAAAGACATCCAAGTAGAAACTTTCCAAAAACTCACAAGTTCCATGGATACAAGAATTGTAAAACTGCTATCAAATAAGGGGTCCTATGTTAATATGTAATTTGACCTGTTAAGATGTTTTTGATTGAAATACCTTTTGATTTCAGTGAAATTGATCTACTAATGCTGCAAATTCAACAAATGACCATTTTCAATTCTCTACAACCTATAAAATGTTTTGAAACTCTGCGTGCGTAATAATTTGGAACAGTGCATTTTAAGTTTTATATTTTTGAAAAACATACTCTTTTCATTGGCAGTTTTGTTGAGTAACATTTGAATTATACTCTAATGGTTGATGACTCGAAAATTATGCCGACTGTCATTTGAATCGACTATTTAGGAAAAACTGAGAAAAATATCATTTGCATAATAATTTGGAACGTGGTGTAATAGGGTTTAGTCACAAGTCTTACCAGAGTATTTGTGGTCGGAGACCAGGCCAAGGATGTGCCCAGGCTCGCCATTGATGTTAAAGCACACGGTCAGTTTACTCAGGGGGAACTCAACAACAAAATGGGGGTCACCATCCGCTGTGAGAGGGTTTAAGGGGGGAAAAACACAATTAAATGCAATTCACTCATGCAAGAATTATTGGTTTATAAATCTGTTAGGGCAATAAAAAATATTTAGCATTTTCAA